TTGGTGAAGTTCAAGAAAGAAAATGAAACGTTTTTCAAGGCTATAAAATCCTGGAAAGCCACCAAATTTGCATTTTTTTCAATGGGGTTAGTCCATGGTTTTTGTTAAAAAAATGACATTTTTCAACTATTATTTTTTATTAAATATGCATTTTTTCAAAGGGGTTAGTCCTTTATTTTTGTCAAAGACTGAGATTTTTCCATTTTTTTTAATGGAAAACAGTTCGAGAAAAAGTGTTTGGTAAAGTTCTAGAAAGAAAACGAAACGTTTTAAGCCTATAAAAACTATAAAAGCTGGCAAATTTGTATTTTTCCAAAGGGGTTAGTGCATGTTTTTTGTCAAAAAAATGACATTTTTCCAAGTATTGTTTTTATGCAATATGGATCGTCAAAAAGTAATTTGTGAAGTTGTAGAAAGAAAATGCAGCCTTTTTAGACTTGAACAATAGCAATCTTTTAGAGCCCTCAAATTCGCATGGTTAGTCCATGATTTTTTTCAAAAAATTGAGATTTTTTTTTTCACGCAGAATTTATCGAGAAAAGGCATTCGATTAAGTTCGAGAAAGAAAATGAAGAATTTTTTGACTATAAAAAGATCGATTTGAAAAGGCTCCAAAATTTGCATTTTTTCAAAGGGGTTAGTCGCTGGTTTTTGTTTAAAAATTAAGATTTTTTCAGCTATTGTTTTTATCCAATATGGATCGTGGAAAAGTAATTAGTGAAGTTCTGAAAAGAAAATAAAGCCTTTTTAGAACAGAACAATATCGACTTAAAAAAGGCCCAAGGGGTTAGTCCATTGTTTTTGTCAATAATTGAGATTTTTCTCTGTTATGTTTTTATGCATAATGGATCTAGAAAAAGGGTTTGGTTAAGTTCTTCAAAGAAAATGAAAACTTTTTACACTATAAAAACATTGATTTAAAAAAGCTCCAAAATTTGCATTTTTCCAAAGGGGTTAGTCCGTGGTTTTTGTCAAAAATTGAGTTTTTTCATCTTTTGTTTTTTATGCAAAATGCATCGAAAAAAACTCTTTGGTGAAGTTCTAGAAAAAATAAAGACTTTTTAGTCTATAAAAGCATCGATTGAAAAGAGCCCCAAAAGTTGTATTTTTTACAAAGGGGTAAGTTAATGGTTTTTGTCAAAAATTGAGATTTTTCCAGCTTTTGTTTTTATGCAAAATGCATAGAAAAAAAGTGAAAGAAAAAGTGAAAGAAAATGAAGACTTTTTTGACAATAATAACATCAATTCAAAAATGCCCCAAATTTGCATTTTGGCAAAGGGGTTAGTCCTTGCCATTTGTGTCAAAAATTGAGATTTTTCCATCTTTTGTTTTTATGGAAAATGCATCGAGAAAAAGTGTTTGGTGAACTTCTAGAGAGAAAATGAAACCGTTTAAGCCTATTAAAACCTCGATTTAAAAAAATACTCCAAATTTGCATTTTTCCGAAGGGGTTAGTCCAAGGTTTTTGTCAAAAATTCCAATTTTTCCATGTTTTGTCTTTATGCAAAATGCATCGAGAAAAAGTGATTGATGAAGTTCTAAAAAAGAAATAAAACGTTTTAGGCCTATAAAATCCCGGACTTAAGGTGTTTCGATACAGTTTTTCAAAGGCCATACCGATATTTTTCAATCACCTTAAAAGTAGTTTTTTCCTTGTCTGATCGCTATAAAATTTTCACCAGTAATTGGCTATGGATTGAAATTTGTGAAAATGTAGTTTTAAGTAAAATCGATATTACTATGACAACAATAAACAAAAAACTTTGAAATTGATAAAAGCCGAATTTTGTGTGATCTAGACCTGCTACTGAAAATCCAACACTAGGAACTTAAAGTTTGGTGTTTAGCAAACAATCT